CATATGCGATAGTACACTCGCATGACTTACTAGGACGTAACTTTCGCGTCGTAACTTTTCCAAACTGGTAACCACATCGGGTGCCATCAAAGTTCAGATTGACCTACTATAGGGGCCATATCTAATAACATATTTTCTGAAACAGATTTTTCGTAGATAACATGTTTCATATAGTGAACATAAGATGATACTGAATTAGCCATTTAAATATGCAATTGAATTTAAATTTATTAAACAAAATACCAAGAACATATCAAGCAGTAGTTGAATCAACTTTCACTTGGGATATAGATCAAAATATGTTTCAAAGTGAAAATAGCCCTTACCGGGCATTGAGACATCAAATTGTATAATAGTTACTGTTAGATAAATTCTAATAATAATAATTAACAGCTATCAAATATAGATAGATTAGCCCGTGTGGAGTTGCCATCTAAAAGCAGCGCAGAAGAAAAAGTTGCAGCATCATAGAACTTGTAATCAAGTAACAGCTCATAGAACTTGTTAAGCTCAGATTACTGTTCAAAATTAAGAAAAAAAATCATTGAACAATTTTTATTTAATATAAAATCCTCTATTTACCTAGAGTATTGCACTTCTTACTATTCCTATTATTATAATTAAGTAATTACTATTATTTATTAGTATAATGTAAAGCCATTATTTTAAAAGTAGTATAAGATTGTGCCATACATACATACTGATAAAAATATGACAACAAAGACCAACCGACGAAGACTACAGACTGTACAAAACAAAGCTTTACGACTAGTACTCAACAAATCAAGGGGCCTACTGACAAGACGCTATTACTTTACAAAATACATATATGATCAGACTGACGTACCAACTGTAATCGGTCAAATAAAAAAGCTCACTGGCAACTTTTACCTCAAATGTAGAGATCGCCCCAATATTGGCAAACATGCTATGCCAAACTATAACCTAATCTACTCATAGCGGCTAATAAAACAGAATGAAATTAATATAAATACTGTTTTGTAAAACTATTGTTCTTTTTATTGCTTATATTTTGAAGAAATTGTAACTTAATTATTTCTTATTACTAAGGTGATCTTTTCTTTGGAAATTATTAGCCAAAATAGTCAGCCAAATTTCTGAGCTCAAGGCGCTAAATTAAATTATAAAAGACGATTCATATCTTGGCAATTGTTATATTGCAGCTCATTTGGAATTTTTAACTCTTATTTTTTTATTTATTTAACTTTATTTTGCAATCTGTTTATTTCTGACATTGAGCAGAGACTTAAAAAAATAATATTGATTTGAAATTAGTGGCATATCTACTAAGAAACTAATTATAAAAAGATATTTTAAAAAAGTTAAGCTTTTATAGTTATATCTCCATCGATTTGAAATAAATATTGCTAACGTCATCGGAAATATTTCTTTCGTGCATCTGTATCATTAATTGTGTTGGTGGCACAAGGTATCATTTAATAGTTTTATGATAAGTAAACATTACTCATCGTTAAATAAATAAATATAAAATTAAATTCAAAATAATTGCCTTTAAAATTTAAATACTACATCATTCATGTCATTCTGCATAACAATGATATTTTTTTTTTTTTTTATTTCTGTTAATTTTAACAATCAGATTACAATACAATCTATAAGTTAAAAGTTATGGTATTGAAAATCAAAATCAAAAAGAAAAAAAATAGAATAAAGGAAATTAAAGAAAAGAAATAGAATAAATGAATGAATAAATAATAATTAAAATAATAGTATTAATAATAAAAACGATAACAATGATATACATACATTTATTGAAATATCACTAAATACATAGTTATAGCTCTAAATTATGAAATTGTTTTATAATTAATGTCTATTTAGTCCATGTAACCACAACGCAATGACATGTTATTTTAAAACAATGCGCAAAATTTTATTTATACGTCATCATAGAGCGATAATTACAAGTTTATGATTTCGATCAATATTTACAAAACAAATTACGCGAAGCATTGGTTGATGCATATTAGAAATGTAAATATTTTGGGAATTGCGATTAATTAGATTAGAGATTACAAGATCTCTCAAGTCAAAGCAGAAATGTTTTTCTTCGAAATTACTAGTTTATCAATAATGATGATGTGATAACTTCTTACTATCCATATGGTAATAACATAAAATCAAAACTGACATAAAAAATTTCTATTCTAATTAGTTTAAATATTATTTATTCCGATTCGATAAAGCAATGATACAACTATTCTGCTTATTGTGAACTTCAAATTAGTTGCCATTTGATCCCTCAATTTTGAGTTTAGATTCGTGTTTAGCGGTAAAAACTACATTTGAAAAAAATATGCTGCGTACAACTTTTTTGTGGGCCTGAGTTATTGTATTTAATAACTTTATATATTGTATTTAATAAAATACAGTCTTATGAAAATCCTTCACACTCAGAAATTCAATATAAATAATAGATTTACAAAAATATTGAAACCCATCTGTAAAAATAAATTTTAATATGTTATGAAATTATAAATCAGAATAAGTAATTAATTTATAATTGGAACAAAGTTTTAATTAATATTGTTTCGTATTCGACATGCGAGTAGAGCAAGAATGCATTACCGAGCAAGTACATTTTGTGCTGGCAAAACAAAATTAATTTGAATCCACTTTGCTTCGGAAATTCACTTAATGATATTTCACTCACGAATTGTCGCTGCAGTCATTACATAAATGAAATGCTGCGGCAACGCCACGTTTAGGGTGCAAACTCGAAGCGTAGCAACTTTATTAAACAACGTACCGATTTTGTGAAAACAGCATTCAACATATTAAAGGATGTAGAAGGAGTTTAGTATCAAGGCGAAATACTATTACTTTGAAATATCATTATATATGAATAATAGAAAATACCTACATAATAATCTAAAAAGTATCTGAAATATTGAACTGTACACGTATAACTCCGGGTAAAATCAGAAAATGAAGACTGATGAATGAAATTTTGTGGATTTTCTCACATAAAACAATAAAATTAAAAAAAAGCTGAAATAGTTTTCAATGAGTTCCATTAAATATCCTACATATAACCTTTTAATAGTATATGATATCAAACTTAAATAACTGATATCTAATTGAATTTGAAGAAAATCATATACTATCTTGGATTTTAGTCTTTTATGGGCCAAATAATTTTCAAGTCACATTCCAAATTATTCGATATTCTGCCAAATAGTTATGGCTTTTGTCATGAGATGATAAACCTCAATTGTATAATGTTGACAAGATAAATAATATCAATATTTATGACCGTTGCTAGGCTTTTGAAATGACATTTTCATAAATATAAATGCAAACATTGTAGCCGCTGTGAACGGAAGATGATATATTTTATGAATACAAAAAAATTTGTTTGAACAGATTTTTTAACTTCCCGTAGGGTAAGGTAAGTTAAAGTAATTGCAAAAAAAATCAAAATGAAAATTTTTGCTTATCTTTTTTGTTTTTATTGAATGACTGATTTTCTTCTCTCCTCCCCTATTTTTTGAATGTAAAACAAAGATTCAGTCCATAGAATGGCTAAGCAGCCATAAGACAACACTGTATTAAAATCAATTTCTCAATTCGTTCATCACTCTATTAAAACGAATTCATTTCTTCAAACACATTATAACTTTTCCGATGTAACTCAGAATCAAATGCGAATTGTCAGAAAGCTGTCACAAACAAACACCAGTGGCAATAAATTTCAGAAAAACTTCTGAAGAACGTAAACTGACACATTAAACGTTAAATTTTTCTTCAGAAAATACATACTACTTGACCTATAAACAAGTAGCGATCAAGTTTGCGTGAATGAACCGATGGGAAAGATACATTTTGTACGAGATTATATACAGACTGTATCTAAGCTTTGCTTTGAGCTTTCACTCAAAGCTCGCAAAGATCTAACAATTCGATAGTTGTATACTAACTCCATTTGCAAACGTTTACACATGCTAATCGAAAGTTATCTATGATAAATTCAGATACTAGGGAAAATAATAAAAAACAAGTTGTGAGTAGCATTTTGAGTAAAAGCAAGTTACATGAACTTTCCGTTATAAATAATCAACATAATCAATAAAAATTAAGATTCAAGGTAACAAATCGGCTCAAAAACACACTTATACCTTTACAACAATTTGGTCTCATTCGATTTAGAATGAATTAAAAAGTCTAGAAAACTTAAAAGTAGCTAATCGAATTTTTTTGCGAAAACAAACTTCTTCGAGAAGTTAATAAACACGAAAATGATATCGAATTAAATTACTATAAGTTTTTTTCTTTGTTTCTTATCGGCTTAGCTCAGTTTAGAGCATTTAGTCACCTACAACATTTTATTTTATGTCTATTACAATCTATACTAATTTTATTTTTCTACGAGTTCATCTATCTTTAAAATCCCATCTTCTTGTTTTTTTTTAAAAAAAAATACTATAAATGACAAGTAGACTAAGGCGCCAATTCTAAGTAAAATAGACCAATGTTATAGAAAGCTATGTTATGTAGGAGTTTTCATACAAAATCGTACTAAATCTGTCAAAGTCCAATGTGATTGCAGTTGGCTTTTTAAATAGAAAATCTAACCTAGAACAAACAAATGTCAAAAAATGATGTTAACATAACTGATTCTTCAAGATGTGGCTTGATAACATGTGAGTATAAAGTAGCATTTTATTTGTAAAACGCCTAATCGCACAGCACATACATGGCATTTTGACAGTATTTAGTACCATTTTATATGAGAAACGCCACGTGACATAGCCTTGTCATAACATTCGTCTATTTTACGGCAGAATCGGCCCATAAAATACTAAAACTGATTTCATATTGGAACAAATCAGACTCAGGATTATCTAACAAAATTTTATCGTTGCGAACTTTTTCAGTTTTTTTTTACCTAATATTCAATAAGTAAATACTAAATCTCTCAAATGTATAAGCATAAGTAAAGAACTATTTTGTCCTACCTGTCCCATGTTGACGAATCCATGTTTGACTGCAATTGCATCCGCAGCCTCCACACCACTTGGCACGTGCACCGCAAATTCGTTGCCATAGATTGGCGATGCAGAGCGCTTCTGCCTCTCGGCCTGTGCGCTGCAAGCGATCAACACCAGCAGCAGCAGTGCCGGCAGCAATCGGCATCTAGTAACTGCGTCGCGCGACCTCATCTCGACTTTTAGCACTTTCACCACCTCTTTAACAAACTACGACCGTTCGATGCTACGCGCCGACCTCTTTGCTGCTCCGCCGCACTGCTGCTGCTGCTGCTGTTCTCTGCTGCGGATCACTATGATCGCAGCGAACACCAACACGGCACTCGCTGATTCTGAAAAATAATCGTTCAAATTGTAGGTTTAAAAGTATATTCCAAAGCTAAATCAATCAAACAAATGGCATCTCTCTGAACATATCTCAAGCAATAAATATAAAAGTTTTTTTTTAAACAACTCAAAAATCTTTCAATAATGTTGCATTTTTGTATTTCATAATGTAATTTTAAAGTATTTAACATTACAGTACTATTAGTTATTTTTTTAAACTATTGCACTTTATGTGAAATAAAACATTTACTGTGGTTTGCAACCTGTGATGCTCTTGCAATGAGGGCGTACTGCTGTATTCAAAAATAAACCAAAAAGGTTAAAAAAATATTTAAAAAAAGAATGAATATTTATTTTCATGTATACATAATATTGCACGTTAACTTGTAGCTTGATAATTAAGTTATAGTATCATTTGAATCCTCATAGAATTAGATTATAAAAGGTTGAAACCACTGCATTAAGATGTAGATAATAGAAATTCTGTTCTATTCATATATAATATTAACTAAATACATTCAAAAATATTTTGAATGTAAATTCTAATGCAATTGCTAATTTCAACATTACAATATTAAAAAAGAATTTTTATAAAGTCATAATTGATAGAGTAAAATGTAAATGTTTCTATTTCTACACTTCAATATTGAGGGTAGTATAAATAAGATGTGTTTAAATTTTAATAATTTAAAGTATCAAAATGATTTCAAAAGTATAAAGATGGATGAGTCGAGTGTAGATGTAAGTTTAAAATTATACAATAATAAAATTGGAGTACATGAATAAACAAATATTGTTCGAGTCTAAACTTGAATATTAATGCAATGAAGTGGTTTTCCTTATAACAATTGTTAAGAAGGTCAACAAATATTTGTGATATGATTATTAACCTTGCGGCATTCATATTTCTATTTACAGTGTGATCGGAGAGCCAATGCTATTGCATCGTAAAACAAAAATGAAATTTTTAATATTCAAAGACGAATGTCGAATCAGACATATCCGTCATAAAATTGGGTGTTGAATATGTAATTTACATTTCACAAATTATAGCTTGGGAAGTGTAATATTTAAAACTGATGAAAACTTCACCGAGAAGGAAGAACAATTTACAGCGAAATAGTTTTCAAATGAAAAGTTTTATCACTACTCATTTATAACATCATTGACACCAGATTTTATTGGATTCCTTGTATGTTCCTAGTGTATCAAACATTGTTTAATTATAAATGTATTTGAAAATTCTAGGTAACTAAATATGTCTAATACTTTAATATTTTTATTGTTGTAGGTGATACAAAAATGACTAGTAAAATATTTGAAAAAACTTAATTTTTGACTATTTCCTCTTATATTTTTGTAGATTGTATGAATTGTTATAAAAATTGTCATATCCCGTTACTCGATCTATGTGAAATGTGTTATGCTGCAATCTTATCTTATATGCATATGATTTGAAAGACTAGAACCTACCATCGCTGTTCCTAAAAACTTGTTCCGCTAAATGTTACATTCACTTGAATACAATTTTATTAACGAATCTGCAAAACGTGTTACGATCTGTTCAATATGAGAAAATACTCAATTTTTGTTATATTATTCTTCAAGCTGACACGGATAATATAGAGAAATGAGATTGAAACTAGTATAATATTCAAGCAATTGATATAAGCAAAGTTAAAAGTTAAATTAAAAACTAAGTTTTTAACTATGATAATATTTTTGGAAAAAAATATTACAGCATTCTTAGTCATTTAAAATTCTAAAACAAACTAGAAAATCTATATCACAAAGTTGTTACGGAAATAATTGCAATAAATGTCTTGAACATGTGTACATTTTACCAAATTTGCCAATATAATAATTTGATACAAAAACATTAGGTTTAAACGTAGTACCTACAAAATACTTCAATGGCTTCATATTTATAAATGTACATCATGATTGAAAAATTAATAAAAGGTAAGTACTCGCCTAAGAACTTCTAAAATCTTCTTCAAGACATTTATTGCAATTATTTCCGTAACAACTTTGTGATATAGATTTTCTAGTTTGTTTTAGAATTTTAAATGACTAAGAATGCTGTAATAGTTTTTCCAAAAATATTATCATAGTTAAAAACTTAGTTTTTAATTTAACTTTTAACTTTGTTTATCAAAATTGCTTGAATATTATACTAGTTTCAACTCTCATTTCTCTATATTATCCAGTGCCAGCTTGAAGAATAATATTAACAAAATGAGTTCATTTTCTCATATTGAAAAGATCGTAACACGTTTTGCAGATTCGTTAATAAAAATATATTACGAAAACTTAATTTACAAATACATAATTATGATGATTTTAAATAAATAAATCCTATTGTAACAGCACGTATTAATAAACGCCATGAAATCATTAACTTATTGTCTGTTCAAGGTGTACGTATGCACAATACATCAATATATGTATAAAGTTATATTTGTTTTAAGCCATCATTATTTTAGTGTTTGGTATTGTAAATAAATAACCTTGAGCAGTCACTCAAGTTAACAAATAGCGCTATAATGAGAAATATCAGAAAAGAAATAAATTTATTTGGGGTTAACGACAATAAATATTGAAAAAAATGCAATTGAAGGTAAGTTGTCGATAATTAGAAACTATATCATATGTATATTTATGTATCGTGTAATTGGCGGAAATCATTCCTGCATTCAAACATGATCTGGTTTTACCGAAAATTTTCGAACAACATTCACTTAATATACCAGTTCAACTTGTAACGTGCTCAAGCATTACGTAATGCTAAAATTACCCAAAAAGCACTCAATTTTGATGTATCAGGCCAGTTTAGTGTAAAAGCTCCTGTATTTTATATAAATTAAATGATTGATTTATATTTTTTTTAAATTGTGTGATTTTGTTATAAATTATCAATAAACATGGAAGAAAAAATATTACATTATCCTTATATATGTCTTCCAATAAAAGAAGAAATGTTTTATTGTCTAATGAATTGAACCGAGAGAATTGGATGGCGAAGAAAGGTGAACTTGGAGAATATTTTGAATAAGCGAAATTTTATGGCATGTTTAATGTCCAAATTTACTATAATAGTTGATATCTACTATTTAGTTTTATGTATTACAAATTACAAAAGATTTATTACAAAAATAGTTTACTCAATAAATTGCTAATTAAGAATAAATAATCATTATATCTTAGATATAATAATTATTCTTAAAACTATAGCTTTAATTATTATAATCAGAAAACTAATGACTGCTAGGAAATCTAAATTACAAAAAACCTTCCAACTAATGTTTGCTCAAAATGAATCACCTCTATTTCCAATTGTAATTTTTTTATAGTATTTTAAATTAGTTGCTACCATCCAAAAAATTCAATCCAAAACTGTTAATTCTAAAGAAATGGTTAGATACTCATTGAAAGAAGTTTGCAAGGTTTTGAAATAAATGCTGCCCTTTTTTTAGGAAAACTTGGACAGAAGTCAATATCTGCTGTTTTTCCAATTTTGTGCCAAATTGTTCAGAATGACTTAAAACTCGAGAAAACATAAAATTGTCAAACCAGATTTTCGTCGACAGTTCTCGTCGAGCCCTCGACCCGAACGGACGTGTCACGCGAGCTCTCGAGCAAATTAATTTATTTGGAAGTCATCCATAATCCACGGTTATACATGTGTAGAGATCCATATACATTTTTATTTATTCTTTTTATAGTCTTGTTAAAATAAGTGCGTTATATGTTAAAGTGAGTCATGCAATCAAGAGAGTTTGCTCAACCCAACGGCCGACCACCAGACGTAAGTTTGGTTAGCTGTTCAACTGTTGGCGAATCAATTGCGCAAGCAATGAACACTGTGAATCACAAGGAATATGACAATATTGATAGTGAAATGGACCTAAGTGACTACTCAAGTGAAAAAATTAACATAAAAACAATTAAAAATGTCAGTGACCCAGTGCATATAAATACCGCCGGTAAAGATTACACGGCGTATCAACACATCAACAATAACGTCAATCAGAACACCGAAGTACATACAACTCCTGAACCAATCAATAGAAATATGAATGATGTTGATCAAGGCCAGGGATGGACAACCGTTACAAATAAAAGAAGACAGGAAAATTACTGCAACGAAGCAACAACGAAAAAGGTTACCTTGAAAGACTACTGGTTAAACTCAGTGCCCACAAAGAATTATTATGACACTCTGCAATACGCGCCTTCTAGTGTTGAACCAGTAGAAAAGACAATTAATCCACCACCAATTTTCGTCTACGGTGTTGACGACATCAAGCCTCTCATCGAATTATTAGAATTACACGCCAAGGACAAATATTCTTACAAAACAACTGGACTGCAGCAAGTTAAAGTAAACACAAAGGACCCACAGACGTATAACACCGTACTAAAACATTTGAAAGAAAAAGGAACTGAACTACATTCATATCAAACAAAGTCACAGCGATCTTTCAAAGTTGTAATAAAAAATTTACATCATACCACTGATGTGGCAATGCTAAAACAAGAAATAAGTGAAAAGGGTCACAATGTTTTAAGAATTTACAACTTAAAACATAGATACACAGGATACCCAATAAATATCTTTGTGGTAGAATTGGAACAACAGAAAAATAACAAAGATATTTATTCCATTGACTTTCTTTACAGAACCAAGGTTTCTATAGAAGCAAACAGACCTACTCAAGAAGTGCCACAATGTACAAGATGCCAGAGTTTAGGGCACACAAAAAATTACTGTACACGCACAGCGCGTTGTGTAAAATGCGCCGGAAAACACTTTACTAAAGATTGTTCGTGGAGAGATCCTGTCAACCAAAACGTAAAATGCGCACTTTGTGGAGGAAACCATCCCGCAAGCTATAAAGGATGTGCTATTTATCAACAAGAAAAACTTCGTAAATTTCCACCATTAAGAAGAAGTCAGACTCCCCTCAAAAATCCCGTTAATACGAGCCACTCCTTCGT